TCAGCAGACGTTCTCTGTGTCTATTTGCTGCTGCTGCTGCTGCTGCTGCTGCTGCTGCTCCTTGTTTGCTTCCTCTTCCTGCTCCTGCTGCTGCTGCTGCTGCTGCTGCTGCTGCTGTTGTGTATATATTATATTCTTCTGCTTCGTCTTCGTTATCAATTGCATATAAATCATATTCATATTCGTCTTCTCCTATTTCAGCAGCAGCAGCAGCAGCAGCAGCAGCAGCAGCAGCAGCAGGATCACCAGCAGCAGCAGCAGCAGCAGCAGCAGATAAATTTTTACTTTTTTCTTCTTCTGTTTTACATACATCTATCACCTGTATCGTCTCAGAGCCACGCAGCATCAAACTCACACCAGGAGCCAAATTCTGCTGCTGCTGCTGCTGCTGCTGCTGCTGCTGCTGTTGCTGCTGCTGCTGCTGCTGCTGCTGCTGCTGCTGGGTGTGCCTTGGATCGAGGCGGTACCTCTGCAGGTTTTTTACTGCTTCCTCTACGAGGTTCATATACTGCACGTTTGCTGCTGCTGCTGCTGCTGCAGTCTGCTGCTGCTGTTGCTGCTGCTGCTGCTGCTGCTGCTGCTGCTGCTGCTGCTCTCCAAATACCTCGCCGCGCAGGGGAGGATTGAATGCATGCCAAAAGGAAGTCCCATCTGCTGCTGCTGCTGCTGCTGCTGCTGCTTCTGCTGCTTTTGATTCTTCTGCTTCTGCTGCTGCTGCTGCTGCTGCTGCTGCTGCTGCTGGTGCTGGTGTTCCTGCTACCGGCGCTGCTGCGGTGGCCTGATCATGCTGCTGCTGCTGCAGCTGCTGCAGCTCTTGCTGCTGCTGCTGCTGCGGCTGCTGTTGCAGTTGCTCCAGCTGCTGCAGCTCTTGCTGCTGCTGCTGCTGCTGCTGCATTTGCTGCTGCTGCTGCTGCTGCTGCAGTTGCTGCTGCGGTGGTGGCGCTGCATCAACATGCCTGAAGATGATAGCCCTATCTAATATATCTGTATCTCTGTCTTTGTCTTTGTCTGTATTTATTTTATTTATTTTATTTATTTTATTTTGTTGTTTTTCTTTTATTTGTTTTTTTAATGGAGGCAAAACACACAAAAAGGGAGGGGGGGCTTCGTCCCGGTGCCGCTTAAGCCGTACATACACCGCAGGGGGTCTCTCCATCTTCTCTATATATAAATATATATAAATATAAATATAAATATAAATATAAATATAAATATAAATATAAATATAAATATAAAATATAAATATAAATATATATATTTATATATATTTATATATATATGTATATATAATGTAGCAGCAGCAGGAGCAGCAACAATTTTTTATAATCAATCAATACATTTGAGCAGCACCCACCAGCAGCAACAGCAGCAACAGCAGCAGCAGCAGCAGCAGCAACTGCAGCAGCAACTGCAGCAGCAGCAGCAGCAGCAGCAGAAGGTTATTATATTCTTCTCTCAGGAAGCAGAGAAAGAGAAAAGTTTATTTGTATTTGTTGCAGCTGAGCTTCATTATATAAAACCTTCACCTTTAAAGAACAAGAAGGACAAGAAGCAAACACAAAACCCCTGAATCCTGTTGCTGCTGCTGCTGCTCCTGCTGCTGCTGCTGGTGCTGCTGCTGCTGGTGCTGCTCCTGCTGCTGCTGCTGGTGCTGGTGCTGGTGCTGCTGCTCCTGCTGCTGTTCCTGCTGCTGCTGGTGGTGGTGCTGCTGCTCCTGCTGCTGGTGCTCCTGCTGCTGGTGCTCCTGCTCCTGCTGCTGTTGTTGCTGCTGCTGCTGCTGCTGCTGCTGCTGATGCCTTGAGAGAGGTGATGGGCAGTTCAAAGAGATCACCGCACGGGCAAGGATAAACAAATTGTTTATCTACGGCGTCAAACTCTAACTCTGTTATTTCTACTTCTTCGTATGCTGCTTCTTCTTCTTCTTTTCCTTCTAGTTTTGCTGCTGCTCCTGCTGCTGCTGCTGCTGCTGCTGCTGCTGCTGCTGTTGCTGTTGATGTTGCTGCTGCTGCGGGTGGTGACGAGGATCCTTCCCCTGATGAAGCTGCTGCTACAGGTGCTGATGCAGGGTCTTTGGCTGCTGCTGCTGCTGCTGCTGCTGCTGCTACAGGGGTGGTAGCAGCAGCTGTTTCTGCTGGTGATGGTGCCGGTGCTGCTGCTGCTGCTGGTGGCGCTTTTGCTGCTGCTGCTGTTGCAGCAACCCCACCGTCAGGTACACCCGCTATCGATGTACTGCCGTCTGCTGCTGCAGGCGGTGAGGTGTATGAAGAGGGAACAGAGAAAGGCAGAGGAGGCCGAAGCGTTAAGAAGAGAGGAAACACAGAAGAAGGCAGCAGCGGATTGCTGGAGCTTGCTGCTGAAACAACGCCACCACCACCACTGCTGCTGCTGCTGCTGCGGCTCTTCGTGCTGCTGCTGCTGCTGCTGCTGCTGCTGCTGTCAGCTTCTATGGTGGCAGTGGCCGTAGCGGTGCCTGAGCTCCGCTGCATGCTGCCTCTTTACTTGTTGCTTCTTCGTTGCTGGAGCCGTTGCGCGCTGTCGAGTTAAAGTGTAGAAGTTGTTTATTTTTATATTTAATTAATATATTTAACAACTTATTTACTGTAATTAACACAAGTCGATGAAACAAGGGCTGTGAGCTGCTGCTGCGTTGAGAAAGACGAACAGGGGGGGCTCTATGTACGACGGCCCTGAAATGCTGAAACTTGCAATTAAACAGAATTAATAAATTAATGATTTTTCATGAATAAATATGTTTGAAACCATCAGAAGATAGTGAAAAAGAGAAGAAAAACTCGTTTTTCATCTCCTCTTGAATCCGTGGGTTTACGTGGTGGGTCGTTCGGGGCTGTAGCTGAAGCCGCAGCTTGGGGAGGGAAAGCTGCAGTATTGCTCTGCACTAACTCTGTATTCGAAAAGAAGAAGTTGTTTTTCATGAAAAACCACAAAATTTTATTAAAAAGGGTTGCGCTTTCCGTGTGAATCGCACCCCTCTTTCTCTCGTCGGCGCGCGTGTGTTCACTTTTTTCAGGTGTCTGTACACCTCAGCTTTGTTCTGCTCGTCACGACGACGGCACCCCACCACCACAGCTTGCGTGGGTTGCAGTACAGCCTCTGTCAGTTGTATTTTTCTCGGGTTTTTTGCTTTATTTGTTTTTAAAATGTCAGAAGAAAAGAAAGACGGAGAAAATGCAGAGAAGGAACACATGCAGCTCAAGGTTCGATCGCCGGTAAGCTGCTCCTCTTGCGTGCGTCTCATCACGTTTCTGCGTTTATTTTTTCCGTTTTTTTCGCAAAATTTTAGTAAATATTGTTTATTTGTGAGTTTTTTAATCATTTGAGTGGACTAATCGATGCGTTATGAGGGGTGGTGATGCTGCATTTGCATCTTTTGTTGCCTTTCCTGTTGCAAGAGTCTAGGGGGTTTCACTGTACTTACTGGCGGCTGTATTCTTCTGCTTTGTTTTAACTCTTTTTTTCTGTCTCTATCATGAATAAATATTTTGAGTTGAGGTGTACATGCAGCCACATGTACATATATATATATATATATATATATATATATATATATATATATATATATATATATATATATATA